TTTTAGAGACCAAGCGCATTTCTCTATCAAAGGAAGTTTCATACTCATACCATACTGCATGTATGTTACGATCAGCAGTTAGACGCGCTATGCGATCTTCAGAAGTTTCCTGAGATCAAACGCTTGTTGTATGAGTTCTCCGAGAGCTCAAGAGATTGTCCCTGACGGCAAATGCTTCAGGTTCAACTTTATAGTGCATGAGCCTCGCAATGGGCAGTTAAATACGTTTCGCGTTTTTCAGGTATCTCCCGAGACCGAGTGCTTTCCGTCCGATCTCTTTCTTTGTCAATAAAAGTCGGTACATGTCTGACGGAAGATACGTGGAGTTTTATTAATTGATATAAAAAAATTGGACTTTCCACACTCGAAAGAAATCGTCTACTAACACATACTTCGGGGAGGTGCTTAACTGACCTTTCGTCACCCTCTCGTAGGAGATGAAACCCGGATAGCTATCGCCGAGTCACCAGGACACTCAAGTATTGGACCATTGGTCCCCTTGCAGATAGAAAATTGAAGAGGCTCGGGTTGATCGAGTGTCTCTCCTAGACAGATGAAACCGTGCAATGCGGGGGCGGCTGCCAACCACCTCCGCTGGCCACGACCAGGAAGTGAACCTAATCTGATAAAATTTGCGTTCACTGTAAACTACTCGATTAATTAATTAATTAATTCCATCATCGGAAGGCTCTTTTCGCTCGCGTGATCGTATACCACCTATCCATTATAAGCTGAACTCTATTCAATATGATTGGCCATATGTAAATGAGGTCAACTTACTTTGGAGTAGCCAAAATTTTGGAATCTTTTTTTTTTATTTGTGATCATGTAAATTATCATTTTAAGATAATATTAATTCGTAGCTCGGTGGCGTTATGGATAAGCGCCGCTGCGAGCAAGCAATTTTCGCAAGAGTTGTTCACGGGATGGGTGACCAAAAATTATTAAACAAAGTCCTGTAGTTTGGCTGTGAAAGAGTTAATGATGATAATCCATATATCAAAGAAGAAAATTTAATAAAACAGTTAATATTTCATAGCAATATTGGCGAACACATCACTTGAAATTGACATAACTTTTTTATTTGTGAACCGATTGAAATAAATCTTACACTAAATGTTAACGGAAGAATACCACAATATAATAGTAAAAACTGCATTTAAATCAGTTCGCACAGACAAACAGACAAACAGACAAAAAATTTAAAAATCATTGTTTTGTGTTCTATTACGCTTATAAATGTCCCTCATAACAGTTTTTTTCATATATCTTCAATACATATATATATATATATATATATAGCATTATATCATATCAAATTAGAATTAAAAGTACACTTTTTTAATTTGTATATCACGTGACTTGAACGTGATGTCGTATCGGCAGAAAAATTGTTGCATTTATAAAATTAACCATAAAATCTACGTAAGTATTATTTTGTATAGCAGATCCCTAGATGGCACTCTTTTTATCTGTTTGACATCTTTTAATATAAAATAACATACTATAAGTATCTGTTTTATGTACTCATCGAAATGATATGAATATGGTGGATACTTGAAAAGCGTTTTCGCGGGTATAAAAAAGGTGTAAATTTTGATTTAATTATAAGCAAAAAAACGTGTATCTTTTTCCCAAATATTTTATGGCTTATTTAAATTGAAATATAAACAAGTACTTGTTCAATTAGAGTACAATACACTACTATAGTATCTGTACTTTTTTTTTAATTTAAGTGTGGTTGAAAAGAAGTAATGTTTCTTTTAATTTAACATTGAGGAAAATATAAGCACGTTTTTATTTTTCTTAAAATTAAATTTATGGACATTTTTTTCAACCCGCATAAACGCTTTCCGGTATATTCATAACATCAACATGCTATTCTAAAAGAAAAGAAAAATATTTGCATGGTTGCGGGTTATTTGTTTAGTTATTTAAGGTTAGTTTGTTACGAGTATATTTAAGATTAGTTCTATATGGACATTTTTTCCTATGATATGGCCAATGCAATAGAATTTTCCAACCTCTGATTCGATTCCAGTCAGAATAGATGTTGTGACGTAATCGGTTGGGAGCACATACGAGCACCAAAACCGGAACACGCCGATCAGGGTGGATTTAGTGCGGAAATAATTCTATAATGTTTTTATGTCAGCCGTAACTCGCTTCAGTGGAGTTTACTGATCAGGCCACTGAATAAGAGCCGAGTAAACCCCAATATAATGTATACAGGATTTTTTTTATCAATGCACGAATTTGAGTATTCTATTCGTCACTGGAAACCATAGTTACGTTGATTTTCTCTTCTTCTTTATCAGTTAAATCGTAAGTGAAAAAGAAAATAGGTGTCTATAAACTTGTCTTTACTGATTACCTGTACCCGGAAGGTAATGACCTATTTTTATCAATATACCTACATTTTGTTTTCTGCCAAATAAAATATACATTTAAATGTTCTTAAATAGTAACATTTTCATTTTATGTTTGTTTCTTGTATTTTCACGTATACACAAATTATTAAAACGACTTTGAAACTGTTTCATCGAATGTATTTTTATTTGAACACTTGAAATATTTAATTGATTGGTTGATAATTAATTGATTAAAAACATACCCTGAGTAGTTTTAGAAACTCTTTTGCTAGAAAAATAATATTGTGAAGTTTAAAATATCAATATGTTCTTATTCTCATCTCAAAGTAACTGTTACAAAATAGATTTTCATTAAGAATATTTTCCAGTATAGCATTATGAATGAAAAATTGATCAAATATAATATCAATATGTTATATTTTAACCCAGTACTCTTTACGTTACCACAAATAGGATTTGGTGGTTACAGAATTTGTAAGGTTCGAGTTGATATATATTTATAAAAATATATATTCATATGATTTTCCCATTTTGTGGTAAAAACAATGGCAAACTTACCCCATACGGATCCTATACCATTATTATTTTAAATCATATTTCAATTTAAAATAACGGTCTTAATTATATGAAGATTTTAGAATATTGACATGACAAAAGTTTATATATGCAGCAAATTGAACAGCATCGGTGACACTACGCACATTTAACTGTTAGTTCGCTTTATGATAACATAAGTTATTCAAGAAGAATGTAAAAGCGATGTAACAGGTTTGATCACAAACGAGACGCACCTGGAATTATAGACGTTAAGGTGTCTCACGAGGAAAGGCTGATTTCCTTTGTCTTGTAACAATCCAAATAATATTTCCATCATGTAATCTCAGTATTTTATACACGTGAGCGGGTTACGATACACTCAGCCTACGTTATAAGATGTATTTTGACTGAATATATGAAGGTGAAACAAAATACATACACTTAAAATAAATATCTGTTATTACGATACACTTTTTTTTAGAGTGGAAGGATGTAGAAGACGTAGAAGACCATCACGATCACAGTGATTCCATATTTTTGGAGAATGATGTTAGAAGCTAATAAAACAATGCGTATGTGGAAGTAACTATATGTTTAAAAAAAGGACTCACCAAATATCTCGCGTGCAGATTTTATATGACAAAGTTTTATACCTGTAATAAGGCCTACTTTTGACGGTATACTGTGGAATATGACTCAATTACGTTACCACACCCGTTGATCAATAAAAACAGATATTGTAATTTAACCACTAAAATATGTGTGGAATGCATATCCGTAACGTCTGAATTACGCCTTAACATCTGAATTACACTAACAATATTGATGGTAACTCGTGCTTTGTTTTAATGCTCTTAACAGTGACATAGTTTCCACAAAATTGCCCAATATTCCAAAGGTTGAACCTATTTCAATTGGGATTTTAACACAGTAGTGGTTAAAAAGAGTGAGCCATATACGACAGTAACTTAGTAGTAATATTATTCGGGATTCTCATAGTTAACAAACATCTTTGGCTTCGATTAGTATTTAAAAACATAATGAGCCCTATTTTAATAAATATAACAAGGTTATGGTCTGTAAATTAAACAGCTTTACTATGTAGTTTCATACAAACGCTTATCCTACGTATCAGGTAGAAATAGTAACACTCGCTTTTTTCCTGACTCCACTGTAACAGCTAAATCATGATAGTCGAGCGTTAGTCGAATACGGCTTCCGATTCAGCAAGTTTCCATAAAAAATAGAAAGTCACTTTCAAAAATATGTCGCTGTAAGAAATTCAAGTTCAAACAGATTATTTAAAATGAATGTTATTCAAAATGCAGAAAGGACATTCTCTGATAAACTTACAGTAAGAAATAACTTTAGCTGGCGTCTTTGCTTCTAATGCATTTCGTTGGAGTTAAAATATCTGTTTACTTTTCTAACTACACGATCTTTTCGTACTTTCTGGGTGTAAAATATTCTATGTTGATATCTCCTTTCCTAAACTCCTGTAATAAATTGTCTGTAATCGACAAGTCATTCGGGCACCCGTAAAAGAGTTTTATAACATTGCTTACGAGTTCGTTGAGTTATAATATTACGTGCCTGAGAGTAAATCTACCGACAAGTAAAATGTAAAAGGAAGGAAATATCACAAACTATGGAAATACAATCCTTTTTAACTAGTTCACGCAACTGTTGAATAACAGAGTGTGGTAAGATATAATTATTAAACACCATAGCCTAGTAGTGGTTCCTCCGCCGATTTCAAGGTGTCGCTTTCTTTGACGTCCCGGGTTAAATTGCTGGTAATGTGAAATATGATGTCTCAGGTCTAAGTGTTGTGGTATTTACATCGTCTTAGATACTCCATAATAAGAGGATATAAGCTACTCATCTTAGAATATATGGATATCAATTTAATTAAATTGATTTTACTATTATATATTGAAACGTCTTTTTATAGGGGGTAATGTATCTACAAAAGAAGGTTAGTTTGATTTGAAACATTACTTTATTCAGTTCTCTTTAAAATATATAGTTAAGCAATTTAATTTAACAGTTTTACCAACAAAAATGGTATTTATTTAAAACATGACCCACCTGAGTGTCTCTATGAATACTGTATGTAGACCAGCAACAGGGCTCCACCTGGTTGGAGTCCAGCCCCCAGAACTCCAGCTCCTCTTCAAACAGAGGACCGCACACATTTGTGGGGTAATGTAATTTTCCAGTCCTGTTAATAGAGAAATAACATTTCATAGAAATTATCGAATTGAAATAGATTTCTTCTTCTTTTTAAGTTTGAATAGCACTATCTGTTGCTATGACAAAAATCTATACATAAATATAAATAAAATTGGAGTATCTGTTTGTAATGTTAAAATAACCGCTTTTTACCACATGCATATGTATGTATACACATACACATGCATTTAAGAAGCTCTTATTTTAACATAAAGCAAAATGAAATTTTTAACATTTTAACAACTATTAGTGAAGATTTGTTATTAGCATATGAATAATTTATTGCGTAACCTTATGTTAATATATGTCTGTAGAAAGTCCAAAAAATAAATAAAATAAGATAACACGTCTCAATTTGACGTTTTGTTTGCCTATTCTGTAATTTTTCATTGATTTAATCGGCCAAAAATTGAAACAAAGTCATTTGGAACTCTTTAATACTTATGAACATATAAACTGTTTATATTTATCCGACTTCATAAAAGAAAACGATAAAAAAAAGATTAATATAAAATTGAAAGATAATCCTTGAATTTCTATTAAAGTCGACGCTTGACCTAAATAACCTAAACAAAACATCCACCTGCCTTCAACAAAAGATTCCGATTTTATATTATAAATATATTTTTTTCTGTCCTTTCACACTGACCAACTGAAACAGATCAACTATTTTTCTTTCTCAACGAACCAACCTTTTTGGTAGATCCGATAGGAATATTTTATTCTATATAAAATCTTAAAGTAGGAGGTTTGATTTTGGAAGTATGTATTATATTTTGCAAATACATAAAATCTCCAGGACTTTCTTAATATTAACATAAATTTTTATGTAGATATTTGTTGTGATATTCAAGGTTCTTCAAGGTTCATTTTTTTATAGAACCGATTTTATACTTTAAAAAAGTGAGAAATAATATATTGATTACTTATATTTTCACGATTAAACGATTACTTCAGTCAACAAGTCATAAGAATTTCTCATTAAAAGGCCGGTGACCAGTTTATTAGTGAAGTTTTAAAACGAACGTTGTGTGGGTGGGAAAAATAAAAATTAATAAAAGTTGTTTCATTGACAAAGAAAACTAGTTGATCCGTTTCGTTGGTCAATTCAGTTGGTCGGAATGGAATATCTTCTCCCAAAACATTATATGTGATCAACCAGTTGGTCAGATTGGAATAAAACCCTCCATCGAATTCCATTTGACACAACTAGTTGGTCCTAGTGGAACAACAGATTTATTTTAATTATTAACCCTCCCCCCTTCCCCTTATCTCCGAAACCAATGGTGGTCCATAAATAGTAGGTAATAGTAGGTCCAAAAATATAGAAAATAATTCTATGTCTACGTAAGAAAATCTATAAATACTTTTTGCGCAAGTCCAACTTGCTCTTGGCCGGTATTTGTTTATTCTCATACAGTTTCCCTTCCCCCCAAAAGTAAGCAGTTTAACCAGACAAATACGACAGAAGTAAACTACTTGTCACACTTCACACATCACACTTGATAAACTTTCTATACGTTACGACTCCCCTTTGATCTATCCTAAACAGAGCAAAATAAATCAAAGAAAAAACATAAGGCTGAAACTGAAGCTGGAACTGAAACAGAGGGAATAACATCGCGCCTAGGGCGGTAAAAAAAACAAGTTTGATGTAACATTTTCCGACTGAAGGATACATATCTTTGTGGCTGTGACATTGTTTAACTATTAGAAAAATATTTAAAAATGTAGGATGATGCCCGATGATAGATGAGTAAAAAAAAAATCATACTCACACTCATATAATATAACAATAATATAACATACACGTCACTCATATAATATAACAAAATAAGATGGGTATTTTTTTGATTGCTTCAATTTAAGAAGAATTGGCTTATATAAAAGGCTTTAAAAAGGAAGAAATGAGGAGGAAATTAAAACAAATGTGTTTCAACGCAAATTGCATTAATTTATTAGTTACGCAAAAAACTAAAACAAAATGTATTTAATTTTCTTCAATATCAGCAAGATTATTATCCCTATTGTATTAATATGCGCTAATTGTTCAACTATATTTCATCTAATTTTCTTATCATGTAAATTAACATACGTGAAATTAAAGGTAAATCGTCCAATAACGTTACGCCGCACACAAATTTTGGATAAATGTAAATTATGGTAAGTATATTTCTATTTACATAGTAAAATATAGAATGCAAATATTCCAATTTTCATAAATTAGATAATATAATAAATTAATTATAATAATAATTGCAATGTTAACTCATATATCAAGACGATAAAATGTTTCTTCTCGCATATTTCTCAATTGCATAACTTTAACGATCTTTAGACGTTCATATTTTAAAGACGGCGCAATGAAATTCCTTTCTAGCTTCAAGCATTAGACAAAGTTATAATGAAAATTTTCGCATAAATACGTATCAAAACATTTTAAAAGTTTAACGGTCTAAATAACATATGATTTTTATCTATACTATCATCACAAAGAGGAAAAATTTTATTGTTTGTTGGTTGATTTTAGTTTTCGAAACGACTCAACCAAATTTGAAATAGGTAGTGTACAATAAATATCCTTATTACAAAAACTATTCCTTTAACATAAATATTCATTACACTTTTATTTCTTTTAGTTAAGTAATTGCAAAGTATTTACAAAACCAAACGTTGCTATCTGATTGCAAAAATAAGATACAGAGTAAACCCAGAATTGTTACATGGTTTTTTTCTCATTTGTATCAGTGACGTTAAGATGGAGAATACGTAGGTAATAATGGGACAGATAAGACAAAATAGATAATAGCGTATTAGACGATAAAAATTGGCAATTTGCTCAACAATAGTTAAAATAATTGTAAAATCTTTTATCGTTTGTATTTTTAAACAGATATTTTCATATATTATATTACCAAGTACTTAGTTATAGAATTCTTTTTAAGTTCTAACAGAGGTATTGTACTCCACCACATGAGGACAATCTTCCTATTTTTTTCCAACAGCCAGGAACGGTGAATCTCAGATTATGTGAGATAAGTAAGACCGGGTAATGACGATAAAGCGAGATTGTTATTGGTAGTAGTTAGTTTTTGATCTGCAATTATGGAAGCTAGGTAATTTTCGCAAAGGGTTATTATGATTGAACAAAAATTGACTACCTATAGCGCCTTGGTGCTTCGAAAGGCTTTTTTAGCCAATGGTTCTGATTGCATTACCTATTAATATTGGAATTACGTGATGATTTGTGATCTGTTCTCCTAATAGGAGGAGACATTACAGGATTTTGATGTTGTCACGAATTTATTCAAGACAAATTTAATTACTATTATTACTTTTATAAATTTGAAAGAAATCTTTCGATATCCTTTCATAATTTCATAGGTCAAGGAACCCATATGTTATTGCCTTTTAAAGTAGATATTTTTTAATTGAGCCTCAATGGTGTGACATCGCTGCGCTCAACATGGACTTCAATGTTGAATTATGCACTGCCGGTCAAATTGAATAAAAGATCTGTTTGCAGATAACTTTTGTAGACGTCTTAACAAATGTGTTGTGTATTAGACCCTCGAATTCACACTCTGATGATTACTTCTCCTAACCCGATAGACGGTACATTATTAAGTGCTCTCCAGATCCTTTGGGATAACGAGATAAGAAATAAGCTACGGAAGTTTCGAGAGTGATCGAAGTTACGTAAGTTTTACTTTAGATTTTTTGTGCAAATAAAATCAGTACATTTTAAAAAGCATCAACGAGAAATCGGACTTTATGATTATGGTGTTTTTTCGCTGTTAGTTAAGTCTCGTTATATATTACTTTTAAAGAATATATTATGATAAAAAAGATATATTTTAAATAAACATATTTGAAGCTCAATACAGGTCAAATATTAGACAATGTTAACAATGATATAGCTTAAAAAGCTTAATAAAGGAGGTTAAAACTAAATATGCTTTAAACCACTGAGCCGACTTTAAAGAAACTCGTAACGTTCCTTAAATTGAAAAATCTTATATCAGAGCTCTCCAATCACCCTGTCCTGAACAGGGCAGGTTGAAACATGGTTGGCCTCCTTGGTGAAACCCACTGCAGATTACTTACGGTAGAAGGAAAAAATCCGAGACATATACCTTTGGGGCTTCTAACGCCATTCGCCATGATGCTGCGCAAACCGCCACCACCTTTACACTTGCGAATGTGGCTATCATGATGCGTCCTTAGATTTTACATAGTTCTAAAATTGTTCTACAATTATAGGTATTAAAATATACTGAGAGTGCTTTATTTTGAATAAATTCAAGAAAAAAAAAACATTTCAATATTCTCATTTTATTTGGTTAAAAATCCTTTCCACAATAACTTGGTTCATTACGCTCAAGTTTTCCTTTGTTAACGAGATCAGCCGTTTTATAAACTAATTGAATCAAGGGAATGTATAATCTATTCACCCATCCGAACGAAGAATATTCATCGATTCAATTCACTTAATTCCTATTTACTATTTCAATTACATTATTTTAAGATTCTATTTTTCTAATTTCTCTTGCTAAAATACTCTTTATTTCACTACTGAATTAGTTTATAATTTTAATCATTAATAATAGATATTTATTTCAGGAAAATATTTCCATAAATTTTAGTTAACCTAAAATTATGTTAGTATTAAGCATCTATCTCGGTTTATTATTGAGGGTATAATTTAATTTAAGTATAAATATTTATTTTTTAAAGTTACAAGTTTATTTTGTTTCTTGTTTTACGGATAAAACACTTCCAGACATCGTCTAGAGAAAAATTAATTTAACTTCTTATTAAATATAATATTAGTTGTCAGTTATGTCATTAAGGCATTTAAAAAATACTTTTTGTACGTGTCACACTTCCGTTCCAAACTTAACTGAACTTATATAAATACATTACTTTACTCAGTTCTTTTCCTTCCTATGTCACCTTCTAATCTTAAACAAATGTTTTACTTTTCGA